AGAATGGATGAGCAGGGTTGAGGGGGCCGGCTGCGGTGCCATCCGGCTGGAAAAGGGCCCAGCTTGCCAGGGGCATCCCCTACCTTCATAGAGTAGGAGGGCAAAGATAGCTTTTCAAGCCTGGGTATCTTTAGCTCAGCAGATGAAAGCGGGTCGGCCCTAGCTCCCTGTGTGACCTTGGTCAAGTGGCCACCCTCTCTGGGTGGTTTCCCTAACATTAAACTGCATTATTAAATGGGGGAGCAGGTCAGGCACGTGTCTCAGGGTTCCTCCCTGCTATGACTTCTAGGACTCAGGAGCTGGCTCTGACCTCCCCTACCTTCCCTGGCTGGAGCAGCCAGGTTGGCTGCAGGTGTGGATGGCACCTCTGTGGGCCGCCCTCCTCAACACCGCCAGCTGAAGGAGGTACAGCTTCCCTTTCCTCGCCTCTGCCCCCTGTCCCTGGCAGGGCGGAATGGCCGAGCTGGCCTGCATGACCTGTCTGGACCAAGCTGAGCCCATGTCTCACGGCAGTAGCCAAGATCCTACCTAGGACGCAGGAATTCCAGAGAGCTCGCTGCCTCATTTCAGGATAGTTATAACGTGGGGAGGAGAATCCCTGGGGTGGTGGCCTTAGCCTTGGGGGACGCAGGAGGGAGCACTAACATCAAGCCCCTCCTTAGACATCACTCCTATAATCCTCCAAGCAGTGGCCTTATTCCCACCTTCCGGGTCTGGAAACAGGTTCAGAGAAGCCAAGGACCTCAGCTGCAGCTGCAGCCATTCAGCCCCCAAATCAGAGCTCACCTCTCGTCTCATCTCCTGATATATATATATATATATTTTTAAGATAGAGTCTTGCTCTGTCGCCCAGGCTGGAGTGCAATGGTGCGATCTTGGCTCACTGCAACCTCCACCTCCGGTGTTCAAGCAATTCTCCCTGCCTCAGCCTCCCGAGTAGCTGGGATTACAGGCACCCACCACCACACTCAGCTAATTTTTGTATTTTTAGTAGAGATGGGGTTTTGCCATGTTAGCCAGGCTGGTCTCGAACTCCTGTCCCCAAGTGATCCTCAACCTCCCAAAGTGCTGGCATTACAGGCATGAGCCACCATGCCCGGCCTCTTCTCCTGATTCTAAATGCAGCCTCATTTCCCTGTGCAGAAATTCAACCACGTTGGCAGACACAAAGTAGGGGTGAGGGGAAGATGAGAGGGGAGATAATGAAAGCAAGGCGCCGGGCACAAGGCCTGGCAAGGTAAGTGGGCGCTGCCATCAGGAGGCCCTGAGGACTTGGGGGAGGAGGCCCACGATGCACCTGTGTCCCTGCCTTCCCTCCCCGCCAGGAAAACCGCAGCTTCCGTCCCAGGGGACACTGGAATCTGGAGAGACTTCTTGCCCCAACCTAGGCAAGAGGAGACTGTTGGGGACCAATTGGGGATGGCACGTAGACCTCCCAGAGGCGCTGCAAAGACTCGGGGAAGGCAACAGCCTGGCAAAAGCGACAAGAAGGAAGTGAAAACCTTCTGAGCCTCCATGAAGAAACGAATCATCTGTTTAGTACAACAGACCTCAGTTCCACCCTGTATTCACCTCATGCAAGGAAAGCAGGATTTCATCTCCCCAGTTTACAGATAGGGAGACTGAGGCAAGTGGGAGAAACAGTTTACCAGGAGGCTCTGAGGGGACATAGCAAGCAGGGCCAGCACCTGTGTGTCCAGACTCCCAGATAGGCCTTTCTGGGGTCTGGGGACCTCTTCACCATGCCACCTTGCCTCCCTGCCAGCCCCACTCATGCCAGATGCTGCAGAGGGGTAAACTGTCCCTCCATCCAACAGCAAACACTCCCCAGTGCTGGGCCCATTTTCCAGGGTGGAGGAGGAAGCAGGAGCAGCTCCTGAGGCCACACGAACCCAACTACTGGGCTGGGCTGGGAAAGTGGCCACACCCACCTGCCCACAGCCCTGCCAGGACCACACCTGAAGCGCCTCTGGCCCTCCATCTAGGACTCTGCCTGAGAGGCCCCATTCCTTGATCTGGCAGAGAGGGGAGGCATGGGGGAGGGGCAGTGGAGCTGGGCTGGGCCATACCCAGCCCTTCCTATGGTTGAGGTTTTGGGGAGGCCAGGAGGAAAAAGTGAAGCTGCTGTGGTTGGTTTCCAAGCAGCCACTTGGTCTGGAAGGAGGGGTAAGGCACTCACAGGGGTGCAACCCCATCCCATCTCTGGGTCCGCCTTGTGACCGTACACACTCCCCTCTCATCCTGTACCAGAGTGGGCTTTGGGCATCTGGAGGAAGGTGCCCCTGGGGGACAGGGTCGGGCAGGGTGGGTTTGCTGGCCTGGCCTCCAGATGTGAGTCACTCCCGGTTGGCATCTTCGTCCCTCTTTGGTGCCAGCAGTTTCAGAAGGAGGATGGCCAGGTGGAGGAGGTCATCCCTGTGACAACCCCCCAGCATGCCCCTCACTTCTCCCAGTGCTCCCCACAGCCCTTCCTCCACCAGGTTCCTGAGACCCCTCCAACCCACCCTCAATTCTCTGCCACAGTGATCTTCCCTACAGCCCAAATCTGGCCTCAGTACTAACCCTGGCTCCCCAGCCTCCTCCCGTACAATAATGTCCAAGCCCTGTGCCCAGCCCATGAGGCCTCCATGATCCAGGTCCTGATGGCTTCCCAGCCTCATCCCCGTCTTTCCCCTACATGCCCGGAACACTGTTCCCCAGCCCTGGTCCTCCCATTCCGGAGCTTCTGCCCATGCCGGAAAGCCAGGCGCTTCTCCGCCTACCCTTCACGACCCACCTCCTTTACTCATGCAGCCACCAGCCCACCATAGCACTTTCTCATGGCTTCCCTTAGAGCCATCATCATCTACTTCTTCTTCTTTTTTTTTTTTTTTTTTT